CAAAGGTCATGAGCTAGAAATTTTCAAAAGAAAAATACAAGTGACTAATAAACTTTAAAATGATGTTTAAGCTTCTAACAAGCATAATATAAACAGTAATGAGATATCATTTTCTACCGATCATATTGGAAAAGATTTGAGAAATTAATCATGGGAAGAGGCCATCTCATATGTTGCCATGGGCATGTTGGTACATCCTAAGTGTGGCAGATATAGCCAAGGTGGAGAATATCTAGTTTTTTTTTTTTAAGTTTAAAAAAATAGTTGTACAAGAACATAAAAATGTAAGTACAAGGATATTCACTGAATCATTGTCATAATAGTGAAAAATAGGTAACTAAAACATCCATCAATGGGGTAGTGAATAAGTGCATAACATGGTATATAATATTCAGTCATTTTAGATAATGATATTGATCTCTATTCATAGAAATGGAAAGATGTCCATGATATATAAAGTGGAGGAAAAACAAAATTTATGTAATATATGATCAATCTGGGGGATAAAAGTTGTATAAGAATAGTTTTCTGCAGACCCAGAAGCAGATCTCATGGAGAAGTCACCCTGCAATGTGATTGACTTAAAGATGCCTGTTACTTGAGGAAGAAGCCTGGAGAAGAAGAGGAGGAGGAGAGAGGGGAGGAGTCAGGAATGGCTCTTACTCAGGGATGCTTGACTTTTAGGGATGTGGCCACAGCATCCTCTCAGGACAAGTGGGCATACCTGGCCCCTGCTCAGAGCACTTTATATAGGGATGTGATTTTGGAGAAGTATGGGAACCTGGTCTGCCTGGCAGGAAACTCTCTCCTGACCTGAATGTTATCTTCATGTTGGCCCAAAGGAAAGAACCCTAGACTGTGGAGAACCAATAAAAATAGCAAAAACACCAAAGGGGTGGGAATGTATCAGAGATGAGATCACAGTGGTGCTACAGCTCAAACAGAGATAAAATAAATGCAAAGCCCTCATTGTGATGGACAACTCGGTCATGTGGCTTCTAGGAACTTTCTGCTTCCTTCTCTGTGAAGGATATCTTTCCTAAATGTGTGATCATTTCCCTTTTGGGAATTACTTTTTTACTTTGGGAGTAATTCCCAAAAGTGAAAAGTATTCCACACAGCATCATTGGAAAGACACGAAAGCAATGACATTGAAAACTTTTGCTTCAGGGAAATCTGGAAAAATAGCCATGACTTTGAGTGTCAGTGAAGAGATGATGAAAGATGTTACAAGAGTGCCTGTGACCAGAAAAGAAAATCTTACTGGTAGAAAAAGACACAGGTAACTTGCCTATTAAAAATCAGCTTCGATTAAGCTTTGTGTCACATCTGCCTGAACTGCAGCTGTTTCAAGCTGAAGAGAAAATTTATGAATATAATCACTTTGAGAGATCTGTCAATGATGGTTCCTTAGTTTCACCACCTCAGAGAATTACTTCTAGGCTCAAAACCCATATTTCTAATAAATATGGGACTGTTTTCATTTAGTCTTCATTATATAAGAACAAAAGGCACACCAAGGAAAAGCCTTAGAAATGTAATGAGTGTGTCAAAGCCTTTAATCATGGCTCACACTGCACTATACATCAGATAATCCATTTTAGAGAGAAACGATATAAATGTAATTTTTGTGGCAAGGTCATTAGTCAAAAAATCAAATCTTGCACTTCATCGGAAAGTTCTTACTAGAGAGAAACCTTACAGTTATAATGAGCGTGGGAAAGTCTTCAGTCACTATTCACTCCTTGCACAGCATCAGAGAATTCATCCTTGAGAGAATCCTTATAAACACAATGAGTGTAGCAAACCCTTCATCATGAGTTCCAGCATTTATTGACATCAGAGAGTCCATGCTGAAGAGAAATCATACAACTGTAATGTATGTGGCAGAGGCCAGGTTTCATAACCCACTAGACATCAAAATATATATTTTTGATGGAACTGCACAAACGTAGCATGCATGCTGAGACCGCTACCCAAGGATCAAAACTGTAGAACATCAGAGGATTCAAACAAGGAATAACTCTATCTTTAGTTCTCCAACATCAGTTTTTGATATATCATACTACAGAACAACTGTAAGTCAAAGTATTAAAGCTCATGACATGATATATATCAAAGGTACCAGGATATTTGGAAATGACCAGTTATCTTTGGGTTATAAAATATTTTGTTCAATTATTTGACGTTTCTTGAAAAGGCTACTTTACTGTTCATGACTTTCAAATTGAACTTTGAAGTACAAGAGACTAATATCCAGAATATACAAGGAACTCAAACTAAATAGCAAAATAAATAAATAAATAAATGATCTGATTAAAAAATGAGCAAAGGATCTGAATAGACACTTCTCAAAAGAAGACGTAATGGCCAAGAAGCATATGAAAAGTGCTCACCATCACTAATCATCAGGGAAATGCAAATCGAAACCACAAGGTCGTATCTCACCCCAGTTAGAATGGCTATCATCAAAAAGACAAAAAATAAATGCTGTCAAGTATGTGTAGAAAAGGGAACTCTCATACACTATTGGTAAATTAAGCACTGTGTAAATTAGTACAGCCATTATGGAAAACAGCATGCAGGTTCCTAAAAATACCTGAAAATTAGAACCATACAATCCATCATTTGCAATACTGGATATTTGTCTAAAGGGAAAGAAATCAGTATATCACAGTAATATTGGCATCCTTATGTTTATTGCAGCTCTATTATAATAGCCCAAACATGGAATCAACCCAAGTGTCCACCAGTGGATAAAGAATACGCACTAGAATACTATTCAGACATAAAAAAGAAATCTTGTCATTTGTGGCAACATGGACAAGCCTGAGGACATAAGTGAAATAAGCACAGCGCAGAAAGATAAATACTGCATGTTTTCACTCTTACGAGGAAGCTAAAATGTTGATCTCACAGAGTAGAGAGTAGAATGCTAGTTACTGGAGTCTGGAAAGGGTAGGAGAAATAGGGATAGGGAGACGATTGTTAACTGATACAAAATTACAACTAGATAGGAGAAATAAGCTCTAGTGTTCTATAGCACACTAGGGCGACTATAGTTAACAATTTATTATGCATTATATATTTTCAAGTAGCTAGAAGAAAGCATTTTGGATGTTCCAAACACAAAGAGATGATAAGAGTCTGGGGTTATAAATTTGCTAATTGCTCTGACTTGATCATTACACAATTGCAAACATGTCTGGAAATACTACTCTGTATCCCGTAAATATGTCCAATTATTGTGTACCAACTAAAAATAAAAGGGAAAAAAAGAACTGAATGAATGAACCCATTAAAAATGTGGCATAAAAATAATTGGGAGGGCATTTACCAACTTATTAGCAGAGACTGTGGTTAGGTAGTGAGACAGTTGATTTTTATTTCCTTCATTTTCATTCTTTGAATTTCTTTCTTGTAAAGTACATATTGCTTTTATAATGGGAAAAGTAATAATGATATCAACATTTTTGGAATGTATTTGCTCTTATCAGTAGCCGAAGATGTATATTTTAAGCATTTTTTTAAAGAAATAAGTGAATAAATGTGGTTTTGATAATACTGGATCACATCATTTAGAAGAATACTTAGAATTTCCATTTAGGGCAATTGTAGGTTGATAGTTAGAACCCTCTATTAGCCTTTGGTTTGTAGTGGGAGTAGTGTGGAATTGCAGGGACATACACTTTTCTCCTTGGGACTTCTGTGATTGGCCTCTTATTGGGAGAATTAGAGGTTGAGGGAACATTACTGTGATGAGTGCTGTGAGGCGGGCTGGGTCCTGAGCTGCAAGGTGGGCCAGGCAGGACCATAAGCGAGTAAGGGAGAGGCATCATGACCCCTACCCCTAAAAACTCCAGTGTGCATCTCCTAAGGATGAGTACATAATGAGGAAACCATTATTGTACCTAGAAAATTAATTCAATTCAGCATAATATCTCACATATTATTTAAATTTCCAAATTTAAATTTCTGCAGTTGTACTTAAAATCTCTTTGAAAGCTGTTTTCGCCCTAATCCAGGATCCCGCCAAGGCTCATAAATTGCATTTGGTTGTTTTATCTCTTTCCTCTTAATCTAGATTCTAGAGAAGTATTCCTGTGTTTTGTTTGCTTTTCATGACATTGACTTACATGAGGCATTCAGGCCAGCTTGTCTTGTAAAATGTGCTACATTTGACATTTGCCCGATTGTTTCCTTAAATTCAGTTAAACATTTTTGGCCAGAATGCTACACAGGTAATATATCTACTTCTTACTGCTTCACTTCAGGAAGCTTTCATGTCAGATTGCCCCACTATTGGGGATGTTTGCTGTTTTTTAATGGATGGAAAACTTTATCTCACAGAAGAAAAGTCAAGATTATTAAACATTCCTTGTATTTTTATACCTTTCACGAGCACAGAGAAAATGCTTATTAAGAGTAAATATTCAAAAAAGAAAATAGAAAATGTTTCATTATCTACAGAGACTTTAAAATCTTCTTTTCTTATAGAGAAAACCTAAGTATTTGTTAAGTAACCAATCTTTGTCCTTCATTTATGCCGTCAGGTTGGGACTTAGATACAGTATTGTATTAGCTGCTACTAGTGCTGGGATCATGCCAGTAGGTAAATATGCAAGGCAACTTTCCTTTTGTGCCATTGCAAAGCCAAAACCATAACAAGTCAAAATACCAGCTGCCTTTTTCACTCTTAATTGTCGTAGTACGTTTTTAAAATCCAAGCTTATATTCTTTGCTGAGATCTGGGGAGTATTATCCTAGAACAATTGAAGCTAACTAGCTTGGAAAACAGAGTCTTCTAAATGCATTCTTTGTCTTGTTTCTAAACTCCTGCTTGGACTAAGAAAATGCAGAATATTTTCTTTTGTCTCTCTTAGGGGTTCCCTAGGACAAGAGCTTTTGGAGTCCTGCTGAGGGCGACATTAACTTGTTTGACTCATGAATGATTGTGAAGAAACCATGCAGTAATGTGGGAATGCTGCTCTCTTTTTCAGGGCATCTTTTATGACCAAAACTGTGCCTTGTGGGAATGAACTTCACAAGTTCCTCATCTGGGACACTGCTGGTCAGGAGCGGGTGAGTAGATGCTGTCGTTGGCTTTCTAGTGAAAATACAGAGATTAGTTTCTGAAGGTTTCTTTGTATTAGGCAGGACTCTACTGGTTGCAAGAGACAGAAATCTAGCTTGAAATGATTTAAGCAAAGAGGAAACGTACTCTTCAGGTACGTGCAAAGTCTAAAGGGGCGCCGTGTGAGGTAGGGCTGAGTTCCAGTCCCCTTTGTTTCTGGTTCTTTCCATGTAGTGCAATTGTGGTTGCACTCTGATTGGCTTCATTTTTAGGCAGACCCACCCTCCCTCCTTTCCCCAGGGGTGGCAAGGGTGGCTCCATTAGCAACTCCACACCTACGTTCGGCCTGCTTCCCCACCCACAAGGGGGCTAGCGCACCTCTCCTGCCGGGGAGCATACGCCCTAGGGCCTGCGCGTTCTCACTGGCAGGCCTGGGGCGCGCTTGCACTCTTGAACTGAAGGCAGCAGTGTTCAGGGCTCTGTGTGCCCCACTGTAGGGCCAGGTAATACATGGAGCCCGAGAGGCAGGGCCTGTATGCCCTGCGTCTGAGCCTCATTGCCTGGGAAGTCAGGCCTGGTTCCCGGAGGAAATTCTGCAATCTCTTACTGGAAAGTGGCTCATGGATGCTGAGACCAGAAACAGCAGGTGACTTCTCTCCTGTTTTTAATTCTATTTGTGGGAAATACTTATGGACAAGATTATACATTTTAGAAGCTCATACCTTTAGATTTTAAAAAGGGGAATAGGCCGGGCGCGGTGGCTCACGCCTGTAATCCTAGCTCTCTGGGAGGCCGAGGCGGGCGGATTGCTCGAGGTCAGGAGTTCAAAACCAGCCTGAGCAAGAGCGAGACCCCGTCTCTACTATAAATAGAAAGAAATTAATTGGCCAACTAATACATATACAAAAAATTAGCCGGGCATGGTGGCGAATGCCTGTAGTCCCAGCTACTTGGGAGGCTGAGGCAGGAGGATCGCTTGAGCCAGGAGTCTGAGGTTGCTGTGAGCTAGGCTGACGCCACGGCACTCACTCTAGCCTGGGCAACAAAGCGAGACTCTGTCTCAAAAAAAAAAAAATAAATAAAAAAATAAAAAGGGGAATAATAAATACCACGACAAATAACAGGGTATTGTGTAAAAACTCGACTGTATGTTACCAAAATCGAAAGGGGTGGCCATGGTAAATCACACGCAGAGATACCAATACCTCGTCTTAACCAAGAACTTTCAGCCAGATCACAATTTTGATCAGAGCTGGTGATTATGGAGTAAAATAGGTTGAATTTCCCTTGTCTGATCCAAACTGAGATATCGCCTTCTCTGCCTGCCCTGGCGAAACGTCACCACCTCCTTTTCCCGGCCGCTGCATTCACTCCCTCCTTCGCTTTTGCCCGTAGCTCTTATGTTCACTTATTGATTCTGTTATTGCCTCTCTCTAAAAGGAATAATCCAGGGTTCAGGATAATCCGTATTTTCTAACTAATCAAGTGTCATTATAGTAATAGTTTATATAATTTTCATCTTATCTAAATCCCCCTTTAAAACTGAAGTTCCCACATTTGTAGATTAAGGCATTTTAAACACTTTTCTTTAAAAAATTAGGATGAATCTTCTGGCCTACAAATGCTAACCTCATTAGAATGTCTTCTATTTTGGTGCTAAATTGAGAGCACAGACTTCTGTGCGCAGGAGGCCACTGCCTGGGGCACCTCTTTCACTCCGGTCATCAGCTGCGCTGAGAGTGCTCACGAGGTGGCAGATTCAAGGAAAAATGTCGACTTAGGGATGTCACTTCTTTCCATACGTGAGTGTTGTGCTGATCTGCTAGGTTTTTGTTTGGATTGTTAATTTAAATTTAAGCAGAGAGGTTTTCTTGCTCCCCTTTTTACTGTTGGCCATGAAGTAGTTGCTTTGCAGCTGCCTTTAAGGAGCATAACAAGTCAATTTTACAGATAGCGGCTTAATATTAGTAGCACTGCTTACTGCTTCTGCCGTGGCTGATACTTCCTGACAACTTGCTATGTTCCATGTGCTGTTCTGAGTGCCTGTGTGCACCCGTGAACTTGGTCCTCCCAGCAGCACTGTGAGGTAGAGATTGTTACTATTCCCATTCACAGGTGAGGTCATTGAGGCACAGAGAGGTTAAGTAACTTGCACATGATCACACAGCCAATAAGATGTAAAGCAGAAAGTTGAATCCAGCAATCTGGGTCCTGAGCTTTATAGTTTTATTTTGATAGAAAAATCACACAAGCCATACAGTGGAAATCACAAAGCCATACAGTGGAAAGTAAAATTATCCAAACTCCCACCACCGGATACTTTCACTATTGACATCACATAATCATTCTTCAGATGTCTCTATGTGTGTCGATAATTTTTATCAATGGGATCATGATGCCTTATAACCTCTTTTCATTTGTAATTACAGTTTCAGTAAGGAGAGGTTTCTGTGCAACCTAAACAGAGTATTTGACATCTACTTACCTACTCTAATGGCATATTCAAGGGGTTGACTGTTTTGATGAAATTTGGCCTTCTGCTGAAATGACTTTTGTAGTATTTTTCTCAAAGAAAAATAGCAATGGAAAATTTTCAGATGGCTGTATTTCTAACTGTAATTGTTTTTCTAAAAGGTTGATTATTAGAGGTTAGAGGCATCTGTGACTTCTTTGATACACCTGTAACTTTTAGAAGCGCAGGTATCATGTGTGTAAAGCATGACTCCATAGTGCTGATATTTGCCCTTTATTCTTAGGGGACGAGGGATTTAATTTGGGGTAATAGTTGCAAGTGAATCATTCCAGAATCTGGACTTGTGGCGGGTGTGTGAGTGAGGTCCACATGGCCTTTGTAGTCATCTGACCCCCTAACCCTCAAAGGCCCGATTTAGTTATCCTCGGGCTGTCCTTGCCTGGTGTCCCGTGGTGGAGTCTCGCATCTCTCCAGTGCTGGCAGTTTTTCAATTGTTTTGGCAGCTTGTTGCTGGCTTTACTTGTGCTTGTAATGATGTTGCCTAATGTTGGAGCTAAAAATAAATTCCCTGCTGTTGCTTGTGCCTACTGCTGTTGGTTCTGTCTCATTAATTACTGGAGTGCAGTGAATTTTAGTATACCTCCTTATCTTTGTAGAAGTCTGCCCCTGCCCTCCTAGTTTTCATAATTTTAAAGAAACAATCACTTTGAGTTTATGGTTTGACAATATAAACACATAGATTTCTCCATCCTCAAAGGGAGATGGTGCTCAGCTCAGTGCTTTGCGTGTGTCAATGACTCTGTTTATTTGTGGAGTGACTGCACCAAGTTCTGCCTGTCACACACAGAATTCTGGTTGGTGTCCTGCATACTGCCCAGTACTAACTCTGTCTTATATTTGTGGCATAAATTTGCATTCTTCAGAAGTCATTTTCCCCTCTGAGCACTACAAATCTACAAGGATCCTCCTCCTCCATTCCTTTGTAGAAGACAGTTTTCATTCTTGATATGCTGTCTGAATTTTGCCTTTTTCTTCCACCCCTGTGTCACAGGCATCCTGTCTCATTCTTTTAGTGGCTGTGGATAAGCCATAGAGTGCCTCTATATAAACAGCCTTTTAAAATTTATCCATTTTTCAGCTGACCATTGAATCCCATTTGTTAGAAGCTTAACATTTTCAAGATTTGTGCGTTCAGTTTGCTGGTTCCACGAGCGCTGTGGAAAGGGGACACGCACTGCTCAGGTCACTCTGTTGTGCTGTGGGGCCCGCGAGGCCGTGAGGCTGTCCTCCCCACGGCGTTACTTGCTGCGCTGAGTTCCGCACCAAGGCGGGACGAGAGCTGGGCGCCCCTGGGAGGGTGCACACGCGGCACCCACAGGCTGCTCCCCGGGAGACAGAACGGGACTGATCTGCCAGCCCTGTTCCGCAGCCCACAGCCAAGGCGGAGAGTGGCCGTTGTGAGAGGAATGGGAAGAAGGCTGGCACCAGCCAGACGCGGATTCCCGGAGAAGGGAAGAATCGGTGCGCTCGTGCGGTCTACCAGGTGCCGCCACCGGTTCTCTTGCTCTGTATACCCTGGAGGACCAACTTCTTCCAATCTGGAACTTTCTTCAGCTATCTCTCTTCAGTCTTTCTCTCTGAGCTGTGCTTCTACACAGACCATGAAGTTCCATCCAACACAAATTTCCTGTTAAGAAACCTGAAACCGCAGAGATATTGTTTGACTTGCCATGGCTCTTACAGTATGTTTTTTACTTCCTCTTGCCTGGGGTGAATCCCTCCCCACGCTGGAAAACGGTTTCTAAAAAGAGCCCAGTGAAGGTAAGTGGTGATGGAATCTTCTGTTACTGTTTCTTCTCCTTCCGGGTTCTAGACTCACTCAAAGTTTCCGCCTTTGGGCTTTTTCCCTGGTTCTCTGATTTCCCCTAGAAGCGACTGAGCTATGCTTTCGTCTTTTCTGGTTAATTTATCCTGGGTGTTTTAATGGTTAGAAATCACATTAACTGAAAATGTGCTTTTGTCCACATTTGTTTCTGTGTTGACTATTGTCATGTGGAGTATTGCTAACCTCTTCTCTCTCTCTCTTTTGAAACTGAGTCCCATTCTGTCGCCCAGGCTGTAGTGCAGTGGCCCAGTCACAGCTCACTGTAACCTTGAACTCCTGGGCTCAGGTGATCCTTCCGCCTCCACCTCCCGAGTAGCTGGGACTAGAGGGGTACACCACCACATTTGGCTAATGAAAAAAAATTTTTTTGTTGTTGACATAGGGGTCTCCCAGTGTTGCCCAGACTGGTCTCAAACTCTTGGCCTCAAGTGATCCTCCTGTCTTGGCCTTCTGAAGTGCTGGGATTACAGGTGTGAGCCACTGCACTCAGCCTCTTTTTTAAAAAAACAGTTTTATTGAGGTCTAATTCACATACCGTCTAATTCATGCATTTAAAGTATGCAGCTCAGTAGGTTCTGGTATATTCAGAATTGCTTAACCATTACCACAATAAGTTTTATTAATAGAACATTTTTATCAGCCCAGAAAGA